CTCCTTGGAGAAGGTACTCTATGACTCAGGTGGCTTCCCCCAGGGCTTTACAAGAGCAAGCATGAGGAAGTGGGTGTGGAAATGCAGTAGGAGATACAGCCTGGGGTGGGTGAGAATTTCCTTCCCTGGAGAGAGGAATGGATTGCCCTCCTGGGAGCTCAGAAGTGGGGAGGAAACTCGGGTGGGGGAGGGAGGCTGTGGGGAGAGGGAAGACCAGAGGCCCACATCAAGTGCCCCCTCCCATCCTTCCCCATGCCAGCCGTGGGCGGCCTTGCAACCTTGGTACTCACATCTGCCTCGTTCCAGAGCCCTGGGATGCAGAAGGATTCGAGCAGGTCACTGCCACACAGCAGCAAGATCCGCAGCTCTGAGGAGGGGACAGAGTTTGCAGAGGGAGCCTGTGAAGACCTGGGAAGCATGCTGCTCTCAGCCGCCTTCCCGGATGCATCCAGGAGTTCCCCCCCGCCCACACCCCTCCAGGGCTCCCAGGCACCCCTGCACCATGGTGTGTGCAGTGCAAAAGCTTTTGCTCTCCTCTCCCTCAGCTCGTTCACAGACCACCCCTGTCTCCTGTGGGAGGATTACTTCGGGGAGGGTCTGGTTTGCTGGGTACTGAGGGGTTTCTGGGGTCAGGATGGCCCTCACTCTAACAGAGACGGAGCCAGCGATGTGCCCTGACTAAGGTCTCGGGGTCTCTGTTGCTTCATATCAAACTCAAGGGTCAGGGGCATTGGCTTCTCTGATGCTGGGCCCTGTCTGGGTTTGTCTCCCATCACAAATGCCGCCATGACGCGGGGAAGGGGGGCATTGAGGGCACCTGGGGCAGTAGCTGAGCCGTCAGATGTCCTCTCCTTCCCTGGCCTGTCCTCAGCGGAGGGCTGGAGAAGCGGTGCCGAGGACCCCTTGTCTGACTCCCAGGCACGCTCCCCGCTTGTCAGTTGTTTTTCTTCCCTCATTAAGCGCGCTCTGAATTAGCCCAGGGAGGCCCATCGTGGTTTAAAACAAGCAGCAAACTGACTCACTCATTCAAACCCTGGGGTTCTTGGAGCCACAGAGGAGAGATCTCTGCCTGGGACGGGACTCGGTGGTGTGTTTAGTGCGGAGCCATCCCAGGCCCCCTGTCAAGAGACCGTGGCTGTGGGCTTCTTGTCTGAAACAGTGACCCTGCCTGGCTCTGAGCCCTCCAGAGGCCGCTGCCACCCCAGGCCCGGAGGCTGAGGTGGCCTTAGACCCCGCAGCTAGCTCAGGGCCTGACAGGGCCTTTCAGACCGTGATGCTGTCCCTGCTGCAGGAGTCCCCCGAAGGTTCAGAGGGAGGCTGCTTGCGTGACAACAGACAGGGCAGCATCTCATCGTTCCACTCAAACGGACCATCC